TTCCTGCTCCCAAAGAGGCTGCCGTGTAAATATAAAAAAAAGTGATAATGACAGATTTATATATATATGTATATATAGGGACAAGAGAACACTACAAAACTATGTGTCATCAAAATGGACTAATAGCTTCTTTATACAGTCACTATATATGTGGTTGGAACTAACGAGTTCTAATTCCTAAGATACTGCAATGCTGTAAATACTATGTTTGTAATTTCCATCCTACCAATAAATTCAAACTAAATTAATTTTTACCTTTGTTCTTCTTTTTGCTTTTCTGCTGTAGAGAAGATTGTTGAAATGTCTATAAGAAAATCAAAAGAGAAGTGAAAACCCAGTATTTATAGTCAAGTGCATCCCCATCATAAAAGTAGCGACACTTTGCAAACACTGAAGTCATCACATTGCGTTACTCCTAGCAAACAGACACCTAGGCCCAAGAAAAAAGTTTTATTTCATACTTTCATAAGGTTCTACAGCAAAATCACACTGAAACGTATTAAAATACACCACAAATTTGCTAGTGAAAACTGACTGTTTTTTTTCTCCAAAACGGTCACTCTTCATTCTGAAATATCTAATTTGTTTAGTATGTTAGTGAAGCTACACAGTTCTTGTATTTCCAAGAGATAATCTAATTAAGACCTAATCCTAATAGATCCTAGTAAAAGTATTATTGTTTTAATTCACTGCCTAATAAAAGCATGAAGGCATTTTTATGATGGCATTTAGCCTATCAGACATTTTGCCCAGAAATAATAACCCGGGTCTAAAATCTTAAATAGCAACAATAACATTCAGGTATTGCAAACAGAAAAAATATCCCAAATAAAGATTTTTAGAAACATATGTATATATATATGTATATATATACACATATATATATAAAAACAGATTTTGACTGAATGTATTTGCCTCCAGTTGATCCAACCTAATGAACCAACTTGTTGCCTTGGAAGAAACATGGGAGTGAAATTACTCCTTGGCCTACCATACTAACTTGGTAAAAATGGCAATACATATTAATACATTTCACAGTCATTTCTGTTAAAAAACTTGAGCTCAGAAAATTAGTATCATCCCAATGAATGAAAAATTATTTCTCTAAGAAATTGCTCCAAGCTTTTAACAACACAGTTTCAGTTGCTCCAGATTTTAGCTTTATATATAGTTAGACAAAAATATTGGTGGTGAAACTAAGAAAAAAAAACCCAGAATATTAGAGTGTCTGAGTGTTAAAATCTCTTACTTTAAGCTTACATCGAATCAATACAAAAATCAAAGCTTTTGTGCCACATGTCAAAAATAAATCTAAGTGAAAGCATTGACAGCCCTGTGAGTCTGAAGCCTGTTCATAACTGGTAAGGCAAACTCACCTCACCACACAAGGCCCTCTCTGGCTTAAATATTTGCTGTTTCTTTTTGTTTTTTCCCTCCTCTCCCCACATATATGAGCTCATATGCAAGCCATGATGGCTCAGCTTTCAAGGGCTTGTCTCAAGTCACAGCTGTGACATTTTCAAGTCACAAATGCTAGCATCATATTCATGGGGATAGACTGCCAACTATACAACAATAATTAATAGTATTATCATGAAATTAAGAGTCTCGGCGGAGGTGCTGATCCCTTGTGCGTTGTATCTGAGGAAAGCTGCTCAACTGTATTGCTGCCTCAGATGGTTATAATGGATCTCTAGGAAGGAAAAATGGAGCCAGTTTGTCTTGGCTCTGCACCTTTTCCTCCTCTATTAGTGTCAATTCAATGAGCGTGGCTCTCAGCAAGCTGAGACAGACATCACTGCTGTCCCATCTTCTGTCAAATGAAATTTTTCTACTTGCAAGACTAAAAGAGGTCTTCTGGGCTCATGGAGAAATAACAGGGAATGACTGGGCAGAAGGCTGTAAATAACTTTGTTCCTCTTAGAAGCTTTGAAAATTGTAACCTAATGCAAAGGGTTGAAACACACACAAACAAACCTGCAGCACACCTCTGCTCAAGAAAACCAGGACACTTCATTCTGCTGCTTTTCTGCATCAGCATGTTAACAGTGAACTTACCAAAACAGAAAATGAAAATTCTGCTCGGTTTTCCTATAAGCTATACTAGAAAGGTGTAAGAACAGTATGAAAATAAATACTTCTCTCTCAAATATTTCATCTGTAAATGCAACCTGAAAAAGTAAGCTAGCATCTCCCAACTTTTGAGTCAGTCTTGGGGAAGAAAGCATAATGAAGGGGTATCAGTTTTTAATAGGAAGGCAGCATGTAATTTAGCTGTCTAGCCATTTTTCCATACATTAAGTCATATTGCAAAACAGAAGAGTTTTATTAGAATTCACTTATTGTTCTGAATTAGACCTTTAAATAAGATGATAATTAAGGACACAATCTATAGCTGAGTAACATTGCTGGGAACCATTCCCATCACTTTATTAATTTCTGCTCATACTTTAGATTTTGTTACACAGATTTTATGTGTCAAGCTGGTTTGTTCTGTGCAAAAAAAACGCGCGAAAAGCAACACCGGCTCTTTTTTTTTTCTTCTTTTTAGGAAAGATGCATGCATTGGCTAACTCTAGGTTGATTAACACTACTGGGTTTCAAATCCACGGTTTCAAATATAACTCCAAAAAAATGGAAGTGAGGATGAAGCCTAAAAATGCTCATTCTCTTTTATTTGTTGTTGTTGTTGATGGTGGTGGTTTTTTTCAGTAAATCATTAAATGCAACAGCCTATGTAATCGGCAGCCCCCTCCAGATATCAGATACTGCGTATTCCCATCTTCTCAGTGCAGTTTAAAATCTAAGTGTGATGTAGTTTGGAAAGGGATTTTTGAAGGTTGCCTACTCCTGCTCAGGGCATGGCTTGCTTTGAAGTTGGATCTAACTCCAAAGTTAGATCATGTTCTTTTGGGTATAACTTCAGCCTAAATCTGAATACCTCCATGGAAAAAGTTTCCATAACCTCTTTAGTGACCTGTCCCAAAGCCTGTCCAACGCAGTGTTTCCTATTTTACAATTTAAATCTGTGATGTGGCAAACCGCTTTTTATAGCAAAAATAGCAAAAATGTGAGTGTTTTTAATGTCATGAACCTTAGAAATATGGCTTAACGACAAAACACAGAAATTCATGTGTACTAAAGCAATGGTTTGCTCCAAGTTACTCTTTAACTGTCTCACCTGTGAGGCTGTATTTCAACATATGTTCACTACATTTTGATTCTGATCAATCTTGAGTTTTGAGCAACTGTTTTCACATACATCATACATCCAGTCTCGAAGGATTCATCTCTCCTACTAATCCTGAGAGCAAGCATGAAATTAAATGCAAAACAGCTTCCTATATTAAAGTTGTTAGTATCTCAAAATAGTGAAAAAAGGATACAAAACTGCCACTGCAATGATGTATGCCTTAGAGCATACATCTGAGATGAATACCTTAGCCTGAATGGAACTTGTCACCCTTTGAGAAAATTTGAAACTGTTTATTCATATTCATATTCTGAATGCTATCCAATTTCAAAAACACAATTAGTAAAACTTTCCATTCTCCAAAAGCAGGGCAACATAACTTGATGTTTAATATACATCAAAATTTCCTTTTATTATCTTTAGGTTCAGCCATTTGAGTTTCAGTCATTTTTCTTATGATATGTGATGTTTGAGCTTGTCTCATTTAATAATATACCTAAACTACACCATCTGACAGGCGCATGTCTAAACAGAATATCAAAGAAACATTTATATATATGCATATATGTCTACTTTTGCTATGATCAGCATCCAGAACACATGTATTTGAAGAGCAACAAAACATTATTCATTATCGGGTGCTTTCTATGTTTTTTTTTTTATTTTTTTTAACAAATGTGGTAGCCTACCTCCAGGTGATATTTCAGTCTGATCTGTTCTAAGGGATTGACTGCATCAATCAGTGGAAATTTCACCATGCACTGAACTACCATAACCGTTGCTTTTCCTGCAATTCTTCATTACCAAACTTGTTATGTGGGTTGTATTTAGTTTTTCACTCTCCAAAAATTATTGAAAGAATTCTAAAAGCCCATCAGAAGACTGAACCGATGTAAACAGTATCTAGCCCAGGTATATGTATTTCCTTTCTTTGGGGAATGTTAGCTATGTGGAAGTTTGCACTGACAAGGGAGGTCACCAAGAATATTTAAGCATGTTTATTCCTTTAGCAAAAAAAAATCATATACAGATGTTTTATTCAACAATGTCTTTAGGTGTGCAACCACACATCAGCATGTGCACATATGTTTACATACATGTACATACATTTTAGTATGTACAACATAAAAAATCCAAGAAATTAGGATGTTAGATTTTTCTCTATTGCTTAAAGTTTTGCAGGTTCTTGTGTACTTTCAGCTTCAGGGATAAAGTATTCATCCTTGAATACCTTGCGAACCAAGTCCTTTGTATATTTAATAAGAAGGCAAGGAAGATGAATAGCAAGTCATTACCATTGAGAAGACTGAAATGTGATTATTTATTACGGATTACTTAGTGGTAATTTGATTGCTCTACATTTGGAAAAATGTATTTAAATAAAAGTGTTAATTAATTCATTTCATGCCAATTAGGAAACTTAATAAACTAATCTTCCAAAACCTATACTGCATTGGAGAGAAAATGCTAGCCAAGAGAGGTGAATTTTCAATAAAACGCTAACTTTGTGATGACAGTTAGAACATTCCTTAGTCAAAAGAAAATCCAGTGGGTGCCTAAAAGAAAAGTGGAAGACAACTACAGTGATTAATCAAAAGTATTGATTTGGGGAGGCTAGTTATTTTGCCAGACTTCAAGAGTTTGAGGAAGAAGTCCAGAGTAGTTAACTCTATTTCTCTTCCAGCAATTTTCAACTCTTTGTAGTCAGAGCTAATATAAATTCCACGTGACCAACATTTCATGACATCCATGTCCCAAAATACATATATTCTAGTAACTATGTGGACCCACTTCCAGAATTTGTAGTACTACCACAAAAGAACATAACTGAAGATCTGGATGGGCCATAATGATTAGTACTAAATTTGATGGCTTCTAGCACCCTCTTCCCAATGCTATTTTGTATCTTCACTTTTCTTCAGAGATGTTCCACTCACTCATTTTTGGAAAGCTGGAAGAAGGAAGTAGGTTATGGAAATAATAACCTCCACAACTCTTTTATGTGATTTTGAGCTCATTCAGTCTAGGAAGGAAATTGGCAGGTATTTTTACTGTTTTTTTTGAAAGCTCAAGTCAAATCCAATTTTTCTCAAGCTGCAAGTTTAGACACT